AAAAAAAAAAAAAAAAAAAAAAAAAAAAGAAGAAGTAAGTAGTAAGTAGTGTTCTTGAGGATGTTTTAAGGGAACTATCTGGAGAGTTCTTCACATATTCCCTGGTGTTGGAGGGATGTAGGGCTTGGTATCTGATCTGCACTTATCTAAAGATGAGAGGCAGTGACCTGAGCTCTGTTGACAAAGCAAAATGAGAAAAGGTGGCTGCTGGAATCCATTACAACTTCTAGTACTTGAATCTCTGATGAGCCTGTCTTGACTCCACAGCTTGTCATATCAAGTTGTTTTTAATGGGACTCCTGTGAGAAGACTAAGCCCAGCACAGAGGCAGGCCACAAGAAACCAGTGGCTAAAGGGGAAGTCACAGTGGCCATCTAGAGGATGCACAGCCTATGTCAAAGGAATATTAGCCAAGAGATACACAGTGATGGAGATCATCTCTGACAAAGCCATAAAACCACTCTAGGAAGGAAAAAATTGGCATTTAGAACACCCCACACAGGATATCTACACTAGAGGAAAACTGCACTGTGAAACGACACTTTTACTTCCCTGATCTTCTATAACCCACCTTACTTCTGGGAGTTCCCAGCTATAGAATGAAAGAGAAGGTGGAATAAAGGCCAGATAAGAATCTCATCATCCTCATCTTCCCTCACTTTAGGCTCCCAAGCCTGAAGTAGGCCAGAGATTAGAAGGGAAAAGTTTTCAAGTTGATGAGAATAGTTTTAATTGCTATAGTTGACTAAAATTTTAAAATATTGGGTGAAAGAGATTGCTAAATTTCATTGAGTCTAAGATGTTACTTTTTATTAGATGTTCTATTATTTTTATATTATCATTAAGAAGAAAAAAATTCTCTTCTGAATATGATTATTAGGTGCCACTGAAATTTAGATCGAAGAGAAGTTAAAATGGGGAAAAATATTCATTTTAGACTAGATGAACATATTCTCTTATCTGAATGTGTGGGGAAAAGCTACAGGGTCTACTTGAGATTTCATCCAAGGGTGAGTAAATGAATGAACATAAACGTTTTAAAGGGACATAGGGGCAACACAAAATAAAATTGGCTTTCGCTTGTACTCTACAGCGTCTAAGTGGCTCAAGGAAGTGGTGAGACAATGTGATTTCTCTGTCTAACTGCAAACAAACAGGTACACATGAGCCTAATCTGCCTTTTACAAACTCGAACAATAAATGGCATTCAGTTGATTGAAGGCTTATTGGGAGGCTCACTTTCCCCCAACGTACATATCTACTCCTGCTCAAAAAGGCTGAGCACACTCTCAATGAATGATATTTTTCTTGGCTGGAATAAAAAGCTGGAATGCATGGAAATATAGAAATACTTGGGATGTTCTCATAATTTATGAGAACTAGTAAGAAAGAGTTTTCCCAAAAGCATGACTATGATTGACAACTGACTATCTTTTCAATAGCCTGTGTGATCATATGTAGAAGTTGGTCGTTTAACTAAAATATCATCTGGCCTCCCTGCCTCTCAGATATGTGGATAAACTTAGTGGGATCTCCCTCAGTTCTATGAGGGAAAGGACTGGGAAGTCAGAACTTACTTTTCCTTTTGGGAATTCTGGAAAATCATGTCTTATGTTCTCCTGGCCTCTGGATTTGAAGTGAGAGTTTTGTGGTGGCTCTCTCCAGGAGATATTTAGCAACTCCTGTCTCCTTGAGAAAGGGGTGGACTAAGTGACTTACTTGTAGTGAAAAGAATATGGTGGCAGTGACCACGAGAGACTTCTGAGACTAGGTGGTGAGGCATGTGGCTTGCTCCTTACCTCTCTAGGACTGCTTGCCTTGGAGGAACCTGCTGTCGTGAGACACCCAAGAGCCCTAGGGAGGGAGAGATCTCTGAGGTGAGAGTCTGAGCTTTCACCAACAAGCGTGTAATGAAGCCATGTTAGTTAACACAAGTGGTGGCTTGCTTCTCTGGGAATTCATTGAGAGTAAGGAAAATTTTAGTAAGATGGGCTAGAGTTTGTATTTAAGCTTCTGTCAGCAGTGACAACATCAAGGCCTAGAATCGTTTTGCCATAACAGTACTCAAACCTAGAGAACCTTTCCCTCATGAAGAATTGTATCTTCCTGCTATGAATTTTCCCTTTCTAAGCCATTTTCATCAGCCAGTGAGATTCTCCTGTATCATTTATGTTATCATGCCATATGCTACTCAAAACACCCAGCACTCAAAACATGCAGCATGCCCCACCCACTCTCTTAGACTTCTGGGTGAAATGCAAATTCTTTTACCTGGTGCTAAGGTTTGAATGTGGTTTGAGTGTGGCCCCCAGAGGTTCCTGTACTAGAAGGCTGGTTCCTAGGGTGGCATCACAGTGAGGGTCGAGCCTTTAAGATGTGGAGTCCATTGAAAGGCACTTAGGTCAGGTGAGCTCTGCCCTCACGAATAGATTAAGGCTGGTCTCACAGAGTGCGTTCGTTCTGGAGAAAGCAGGTAGTTAGAAAGGAAAGCCACTCCACACATTTGACTCCTTTTTCATGGGGCCATCTCCCTTTCTGCTTTTCTGCCATGTTGTGATACAGCAGTGGGATTTGCTGGATGCTACTCTGGATAAAAATTTCAGCCACCCAAATCATGTGTGACATCAACCTATTTTCTTTACAAATACCTGTTGTTATAACAACACAGAACAAGGATACCTGGCTCATAAGAACTCTCAGCACTGGCATGATATAGAATTGTGGCTAATGCTCTAGCCATAGGATATGTTTTTTTGTGCTTTTTTTTTGAGACAGGGTCTCACTGTGTAATTGAGACTGACCTGGAACTCACTATGTAGCCCAGGCTGGTCTCGAACACACAGCGATCCTCCTGCCTCAGCCTCCTGAGTGCTGAGATTACAGGTGTGCACCATCTCTCCTGGCAGGATATGTATTTTGAATGTTATGCAACAAAAGTTTTATTTTTCATGAGCTCTACAGAAGCAGAAGATATCATATCTTTAACTGGAAATTTTTTGTTCTAGAAATGAGTATTTATTTCATGTCAATTTTTTTTAACCTAAGTAGAATTAGTGGACTAAGTGACCAAAACTTCTGGGAAAGAAAGAAATGACTGTTTTGACTGTTTCCACATCTACAGAGTAGAAGCAATAACTGTAGATAGTTGAAACTGGACAGATGAATGAAAAGATAAAGGAAGAGTAAAATATTTTTCTTCAAATGTTACTGTATTAAATTCTTAAGAAATTTAAAGTGCAAATAATAATTGATATATCTACTATGTATCCACTGGAAAGAAAAAGGTTGACCTATGTTCCTGACCAGGAGCATTCTCTATCACATAGAGTAGAAAAAAATGAATAGAGAGCAGTATGTAGAGAATAATTACCTTTAGGGAACAGTTTATACGGGCACACAGAGTAGAGAAGGCTTGTATCAAATTGTTAATGATGATTGTCCCTGGGGAAGAGATTGATGAAGGGAGTCGGTAGGATAATTTCTGCATTTTTACTTCTGCATTTTAAAAATTACAAAATCATATCCTCTTACAATTTAAAAGGAGAACTCTATTTTATAAAGATCAAGGATAACATGGAACAAGTACCATAAGTTGATAAACATCTCTATTCACACAGATACTCATTCAAATCTTTTTGGAACAATGGCAGGTTTGATATTGTGATTTAGTCACATCTTGAAATTGTATTCCAAAAATATTCATTATAATTCCATCAGTGGTTAAAATAGTGTCCTTTTTAAATTCTTTCTTACAGCTACTTCGCATACTTTTCCTCTGGTACTCAGGTTAAACTGGGAAAAATGAGAGCACTGATTCCTTTGCTTAAAAACAGTTCCTTAATTTTAAATTTTATTTTCAGAGCATGTTTCTTTCTTTCCAAAAATCTCGTGCTTAATCTTTTGTTTGGAAACAACATGATAACATCGAATAGCCTGGGGTTGAAGTTGGAGTAACTGATCTCAACCTCTGTTGCCTTCACTTCGCAGTAGTCTGCTTGTGGTCAATCTGGACTCCAGTTTCCTCATCTGTAAAATTGGTATGAGAGTGACCGAGAGGCTCACAGGAGAATAAGAGCAATAGTGTGATAAACAGTAACAATTTGCAGATATGCTGCTTTATCTTTCTCTTTCCCCTGCTTTTCTTAGGGGAGCCACAAGAACTCTCTCCTACCAGTATCCTCCTCTGTGAAACAGAAAACGGAAATAATCTCTTCCCTTCTACATCCCAGAGGTTTGCTTTTGTAGCACTCTCTTGGCAAATGCATGTTAAAGCATATCTTAAAGAATGGGGTCCTCTACAAGCACTAGCTATATTTGTATTTTGTTGCATGACAGCCCTAGACTAGATTTTTCAGGGAGGACATCTTCTTCCCTCTTTTTAAATAAGGAGATCATTTAAGATGCGGTGACTTGTACATGGTTTCACAGTGCTGAACTATTTAAGGCCCTTAATTCTCTTGTTTAAGTTAAAATGATCTTTGTGTTTTAAACCTTCTGTTCATAAATTCCACACCTCACACAACCAATAATGAAAAGTCAATGAATATTCAAATTACTTCCTTTTATGGGACTTTTGCAATTAAAGTTGGATTGAATGATTTGAACGCTGAGTCTGTACAAGGCAGGTACTGGGTGAGGAACGCAGGTGTAAATGAGAAGCCAGGGCCCCTGCCTGTGTGGAGTGCATGCTCCGTGGTGAGTTAAGGGGGTAGTAAGCTGAAAAAAAAAATAGGAGGAAGCTAGTAAATGAACAAGTTTTAGGTAATGATAAACATTTCTGAATCAAATGTAGCGTAGTAACATGGAGGAGTCGCAGCGTGATGACGTGTGATGGGGAGGGAGGATCCAGCTACGTCATCACAGAGGGTCTTAGTGGAACTGAGGTGGTCAAGGAGGGCAGGCACTCTGTCGTCCGCATTGCCTTCCCGTTTCATGTTACTAGACCAGCGCCGGGAGACAGCAGTGCTCAGGAGGTATTCATTAGCGCACTCATGCTAAGATCAGGAGCTGTGGGACTGTTTAGAATTTAGAATGCTTTTGCTATAAAAATTAATACCAACAACTGCCCTTGATTTTGCTCTTGTTATGTGCGAGACGTTACACTTAATACTTGAATTGACTCTTAACGGCAGCCCAAATAATTAGTTATCCTATTACCTCATATATTTTTTTTTTTTATGGTACGGGGGATCGAACTCAGGCCTTTGAGCTTGTGAGGAAGGCAGGGGAACCACTGAGCCAAATCCCCAGCCCTTACCTCATATTTTTTAGATAAAAGTTGTAGGGACATTTATGGTAAAAGGAATGGGACTTTATATTTAAACTTTTTAATATTCTTGTTACTTCTTTTAATTTCAAGCACTTAGGAAACATTTGACTCCATTGTTAATATTAGTCAAAATATTGGTAAAGGTGATGCTGTGACTTACCTAATGCTCTATCAAAATATATTTGTTAAATTTCTATGTAAAGGAAAAAATAAGAACCCAGATGGATTATATAGGTGCAAATTTCCAATGATGAATATTATTATATTGTATACTTTAAATGTACCAATAAAATTAATTTTAAAAAGTTCTATATAAAGGAGCTGGAGATGTCACTGAGGGAGCACTGTGCCTGCCTGGCAAGTGCAAGGTCCTGAGTTCAATTCCTAGTACTGGAAAAAAAAAGTTCTATATAAAAAGAACACTTCATCTGCTCAGTTCATCTGTTAGTTATTATTAGGTAACAGAAAGTCTGAGTTGAAAGCAAACTTGGAATTCAAATTACCCAGAAATCCTGTTTTATAAAATAAAGAATTAGTTTCTTTTTTTGCATGACTGGATATTTGAAGTGAAGTTTTGGAGTAAATAAAAAAACAAGAATGGTCACTCTTGCTGGGCGTGGTGGCGCATGCCTGTAATCCCAGCACTCGCCTGTAATCCCAGCACTAGGGAGGCTGAGGCAGGAGGATCGTTGTGAATTCATGACCAGCCTGGGCTACATAGTGAGTTCCAGGTCAGTCTCAACTACATAGTGAGACCCTGTCTCAAAAAAAAAAATTCACTGTTTGGTAAGCACACCAGTCACTATTTCTCAAACACTATTTGCTTTTCATAAAAATTATAGTAACATAAAAGTCATGATCCCCACTTCATTTTTAAAAACATGAAACTCAGAGCCCAGAGAAACTCATTCAAGGTTACACTGACAGTACATGGTATATCCACCATCCTTTCACTTCCCAAGTAGGGTCAATTCATGGAGAAAATATTTTAGAGACCGATCAGATAAATTTTAACAGTTTGGATTGTGTTTTTATTCATCCAAGAACCGCAGAAATTCTAATGATTTTTATTCCTGAGGATAGGAGAAGCCCTCCACTCAAAAATAAAGGGCAGAAAAAAAATTTTCATTATGCGTTTCCATTAATGCTTACAGCAGCATCCACACAATGGCCCACAAAATCCAGTTCTACTTGGACAGTGAGATACCTGACTCAGACGGAAACCTGACAGAGACTCTCGGGGAAACCCCAAACTGAAAATCCCTTTGTGTCAACCAAGCGCCCCAATGACTTTTGAGACTCCACCAAGGGATGATAAAATGCAATTGTAATACAAGTGGCAGATTAAATTCTTTCATGCTTTCTCTTGATGACGGAGGATTTCTGCCTCTGATATTTGCCTTTCCTCTTCCTTGGAGGAAGCTCCAACTGGAGAAATCCCCAAATATATGTAGGCTAAGGATAAAGAATTGTGAGGTTGCTTGGTCTTCCCCCAGGGGTTTAAAAGACCAACCTTAGCTTTTATTCTATTATCTATCTATCTATCTATCTATCTATCTATCTATCTATCTATCTATCTGCCTACCATCTATCTGTGGTAGAGGCAGGGGATTGATAATGAACAGTTAAGAAAATAATTAGTATAGCCCAGGCACTTATTAAACTCATTTAAAAAATCAGTAAATGATGTCTTCCAGAGACTGGATAAGCCAGCCTAAAAGCAGCTGTTTGTCCATGTGGCCTTTTGAGGATATGTTGAAAAATCACTGAAACCTTGTAGCTAAGGAGCTCCTGACATAGTACTGCTTTCCCACATTTTCTAGTCTACATATTCCTTTCAACCCCACATTTGGGGGAAAGCTGGAAACCTGATTTATCCACTTGCCACATTTTTAGAAACAGATGAACTCTGCAATTATTACTACAAATTTAATTCGTTTCTGAAAAAGACAGCACTTATGGATCATCCCAGAAAAGGCCTTAATTCCAGATTCCTAAATTAGTCAGTTTAAGAGCATGGGTTCAAGAGCTATGGAACTTTTTTAAAGCGCAGTGCAATTTAGGAGTCAGTTGTTCTAAAGCAGTAGAAATCTACATCAAGAAAATATTGAAGAGTAGGGTGTGTGATGGTGCACCCTTGTAATACCATCACTCATGAGGCTGAGGCAGGAGGATTGCCATAAGTTCGAGGCCAGCCTAGGCTACATAGTGAGTTCAGAGCCAGCCTGAACTACAAAGGGAGACCCTGCCTAAAAAACAAAACAAAAATGCAGGAAAAACCTGTCAGTTATCTGAAATCATGTAAGTGTCTTGCTTTGAGCTCCCTGGGCCAATGTTTTGGTATGTTCTCCAAACACTTGTATAGCATCACTTTTCTAACCAAGTGTCTGTACCCTCTTTGATCATCAAATCAGTGTAATAATAAGACAAGACCAAAGACATTTACTTGTTTAACTGAAGAATATTGGGAATGTGCTGTTTTCTGTGACTTGAATTTACACTCCCTATTCTAACTCTTTCCCAGGATATATTCCTGCATGTAGACCTACTGTCCCATCCTGTGAGCACCCTTTTGCTCTCTGCAGCCCTCACTGAGACAAGTTCTTTAAAGGCACCGTGTGACACCTGTCACACTGTCTGTGCTTGTCCTAGAGAAGGTTCCACTGGAAATACGGCACGAGAAAGAGATGTGTGTGAAGTATTTCCACAGACACTGCCTATAGGAGAGTGAAGGCAGTAGCATTTGTGATTAGGAGAGGGAACAGGTGAAAGGCAAAACAGTCACAACACAGAATGAAGATCCTGCAGATGTCTTCGATAACTGTAGGCAGCTTCTTGAGAATCCTACAACAGGAGGCAAGAGACTTGGACCTTTTCTCTACTTTCTAGTTGTAGGATGCGGGTTGGTCCTGGGAGTGAAACAAGTCTTTGGGCAAGGCAGGTTTCCTAGGCTGAGGGAAATTCCTAGAGAATCAAGCAGCTGTAGATTGTCAGCTGCCGTGGTACTCCCCGAAGCTGGGTATAATATGGACCTAGTCCAATCCTGAGTGCAGGGGCCTGGATGAAATGCTGTAGTATCCACGGCCGTATTCAAAAATGTTATTAAGTAAGTGATATCATAGTACAGCCATTTCTCTAAGTGACTTGTAGTTTCACAAATATGAGTAGACTATTCCAATAAATTAAGGACATATCACACTACAAAAGTATATATAGTTGTTAGTTTAGAAGCATGATTTTTAGGTAACTAGTTCTTATACAGCTACTAGGTTTCGGAGAAAATTATATTCTATGGATTTTCTTTCATCTATACAGTGTTACCAGCTTAAAGAGACTGAGACTTGAGTTAAGAGAACGGGGTTCTCATGAGAGCTCCCTCACTTTCTATAGGAGACATATTGTCATGTCTTTGCTCTGGTTTCCTCATCAGTAAGTTGGCAAAGATGATATTTTGAATGACTCATTCACCGGACTGTTGTACACTGCATTAACCCCTTTTCCATTGCTGGGATAAAATGTAAAGGAGAAGTGTATTTTGGCTCAGAGTTTCACCCCATGTTTGGCTGGGGCTGGTGGAAACAGGAGAAGGCATGGCAGTGGAAAAGTTGCTCAGCCCATGGCAGCTAAAAGGCAGAGAGAGAAGAGAAGAACCAGAGGCAGGAACACACCCTTCTAGGTCCTGCTTCCAGTGATCCACCCTCCAACCACGCCCCACCTCCAACAGCACACTCAGCTACCGAACTCATAAATGGATGGCTTCATTGATGAGTAGAGCACCCCAATGACTGAATCACTTTCCAAGCACCTGCCACTTTTAGGGGATATTTTAGATCTAAACTATAACTTACACAGTAACAAAAAGGATGCTTCTTAAACCTTTTATAAATTGCCATCGAACAGCCTATAGAAACTTTGGCTGTGAGAGTCCTGGGTTGGCCAAAGAGCCCCAATTAGCATGAGGAGCCCCTGGAACTTCAGAATAGGGCAGAGTGCAGTATGGGTGGCACAGGCGAAGAGGAGCGGTGCAGAGTATTGAAAAAGGAAAAGGAGAAGAAGAAAGATTGTATTTCCCTGAGGTGCCAAAGACCATCTCTTCCTACTCCACCATCTCAACTTAGGCTGGCTCAAATGAAACAACTTCAAAAGAAAACAGAACAGAACAAAGCACTAAAGAGACAAACAGGTCAGGCAGCCATATTATATACATTAAGTAAGCCATTCTTGATCTTAGAACATGTCTTCACCCCCTTCATTCTTTCACCAGGTAAAGAGTAATCACATTATTGGGAGGGAAGATAAACCACTGTGTTTGTTTGGGTCTGGGGTTTTTGGCTACAGTACAGAATCTATCACCTCCTCAGCACCACTTTGACTCAACTTTTTCACCTGAAAGCAAGTGGGTGTTCATTTCTAAGTCTCTCTTTATCATACATGCTCTTTTTTGTTGTGGTCATGGTTGCTTTGGTCTCATTTTTTAATCTTTCCTTGTGACAACCCTCTCTTAGTCCCTGTCCTGAAAGTAAGTGATCATCCTTTAGGTCAGGGTAGGGTTAGCGTGGACTTCCCCAGTCTCTACCCTTAGTATCAGAAATGTTTGCTGTGAATGCTCAGCTTTTTCAACTCTGATGGTGCAGTTGGTTTAATTAAAAAAAAAAGAAAACTGGAGAAAATGTTATGTTCTCAACTCCAGGGAAGTATAGTTGG